CGGAAGGGGCTGCGGGAGCCGGGCTGGCGCGGGTTATGGGCCCGGGAAGCCAGGCCAGCGCCTGGCGCTGCTCGCGACGCCTTAGCCGGCTTCCAAATGACGTGCTGGCGTCGGTGTTGCCAGCGGCCCCCGCCGGCTGGCGGGGGATCCCTACTCGCCCCCGATCCCGCGCTCGGTAGGAAGATGCCGCCCGGCCGGGGGCTCGGGAAGGAACGGGGTTAGCCGGCCGGGTGAAACTCACTGCTCCTCACCCACCCCTCTGAGGCCAGGTTTTGGTTGCCTTTTGCGTTGCCCACTCAACGGGAACTTAGGCCAGTTGGGGTTTTGATGCTGAATTGCAGGTCCGCAGGGGCTTTTCTTCTTTTTTGCTGCCTTAGCTGTGGACTAGGTCGACAGAAAAGCGCTGCGTGTCCCGATCGACAGGCCCCTGACAGCCGGAGGTTTGGCTCTTAAATTCAGGACGCGGAGCCCTTGACTCCCTGCCTGCCCTTGGCTGACTCCCGTCGCTGGACCTAGGCGTGTGCTGACCCAGCTTCCGGGTCACGGTTCCAGGTGAGAAAACAGAGAGGCGCGGGGAAGGCCTGCATTTTTCTCCCAGGTGCCCCTTCAGAGAGCAAGGTGATTCTGAGACCAGTTCAAATAATTTTGCCCAAGGATTTGTTTTCTTCAGAGAAGGCAAGACTGATGGGCAGTCCTCTTAGCATCGGAGAGAAGTTTTACATAAAACCTAGCCATAGCGTTGCTGCAGGAGTGGACTTCAGTGTTCCAGGCTTGTCAGGGCCAAGTAGAGCGTTCCCCTGTTGGTTCCTAATGTTGTGGCTCACTCTCTCCCTTCTCTTTTCAATTTAGGGCATGTTGCACATAGTAGCATTTTGGAGGTTCATAAAGTTCTTTCGGAAAGAGCTTTAAGATACTTTATTGTCATCTTAGTAGCTGCACTTAATTGACATTTTAGGGGAAGCACCGGTGTTATTTCATGGGCTCTTTCTCTCTCCATTATTTAGTCTTCCTCTTCCCCCCATTGATTCCTCCACAATTCCCTGGCTTCCCCATCTCTGCAGTTCTCTCGAAGCCCCGCGGGCTGGGTGTCCTTTGAGTGGGTCCAGCGAGCAGGCCGCTGACCCAGATCGGAGCTCAGGAAAGGTTGGCCAGCTCTCCTCCCCCTTGGAGAGGCTGGAGAGGAGGGAGCTGTGTGTAAGTCCTGGGAGCTGGCAGCAGAGGACGCTGTGGAGCAATGTGGTGTCTGCACAGTTCTTTTAAAAAGCACACCCTTCTCACTCACCTCTGGATGCCACGGCACCGAGGACTGAGTGGTGGGTCCGCCTTTGGATGGACCCATCTGGGCAGTGTGACTTTTCTGCAGTCAGATTGCGTGCTGTATGGAAAACTTTCTGTCCTTGCCCTCAAAAAGGCTGAAATAAGCAAGTACTCAGATCAGCACAACCCTCGTCATTACCACCACCACACACACCTCTCTGATGTGTAATAAAAGAAACCTGCAGGCATAATTTGTTATGTAATATGCTGATAATACAAGTTTCGGTTTTAGATGGGAACCAGATGTGGAGGGACTCTCTTTAATTGATCCAGCAAGGGGGAGACTTTAATAGATTAACTAGTCCTTGCAAATCCCAGTGGCGGCCTGTGTGTGTGTGTGTGTGTGTGTGTGTGTGTGTGTGTGTGTGTTTTAACTCGAGGGGAGAAGCCCAGACTCGGGGCTTTTTCGAGGTTTTTGCCTCTCGGCTTCTGCTTTGCTGCAGCTGTCCTTTTCGTCAGACTCTTCCTCTCTGGAAAGAACCGTTTCGTTGCCAACATGAAGCACATGGCCGGGTCTGGCGGGGCTCAGTGAAGCTTAGCTCTGCTGGGCTCCACTCCTGGCCTTGTCCGGCTGTTGCCCTCTCTCCATCCTCTTAAACAGGGCCTGGCCAAGGGACTTGGGCGCCGAGGAATGTGGACTGACTTCCCTTGACTCTCTTCTGGAACGGCCTATCATCCGGGGAGAGTTTCCATTTGAACTTGTCCAGTGAATAAATACACTTTCCAAAATAATTGATTCTCCTCTGATTAATTTCTCTGCTTCCTGCCTAACCCGATGAGGGCTCTTTCTCCATAACTGAACTGAGTCACTTTTACTGTGGCCCAAGGTTGGGGACTGCACTGTAATCGCTGACCCCATGAATAGCAGTTTCATTGCATGCCTGGATGTGAACTTTGGAAACAAACCCAGAGGCTTAGATATGCTGATGTGCCCTGAGACTTGCTTAGAACATTTTTGTTTTAGCGCAGTTTACATTAACATGATTAATGACTGGGCCACTGAAAAGTCCTATATTCAAAAGCAATTTACCGTTCCCTAGGGTTCTTATGGTGGAGTATTTTTCTTTGCCAAACAACTTTGTTTTAAGGTAACTTCTTTGATGCTTAATCCAAACCTCCTGTGCACATGGTTTGGGACAAGGTTTGGGCTGCGTAAATTGGCGGGCTGTGGGGTTTTGGTGGTGCCTGTCTTAACCTTACCGAACTTGGGTCAGAGGGAACTCAGATTTACATCTAAGAGAGTTCTCTGAAATTAGGATGGGAGGAAATCTTCCAGGGGAAACTTGGCATCAGGGTGTCTTGGAGGGACGCAGGGAGGTTGGAGCAGAGGACAAGATTTTTTTTTCCTTCCAGTGATTGGAGATACTTGGGCTTTTCTGAAAAAAATAGAGATGTCTTTCGTGTGTGTGTGTGTGTGTGTGTGTGTGTAATGTGGGTTGATTGAGGGGAAATGCTGATGGGTGAGTCTGAAAGCAGTCTTAGGAACCCAAGAAAATAAAAACACATTTGAACGACTCGGGAAGATTTTGCATTTCAAAGGGTCTACCTTGTAGAATTTCACATCACGTCAGGGGTTACCGAGAAGTGTGACAGGCACCCCTGCTTCTTTAATGATTCTCCCTCTCTCCTGCTGTGGGGGCTGCCAGGGGAAGCTGCCTTTTGCAGAGGGGGAAGGAGCAGGTTTGGCCAGACCCCGCAGGAATATCATGGAAACCACAGCGCCTCTTAGGCATCTGTCGGTCTCTGGACGGGCTTTTTCCACGGTGCCACTCTCAGGAGAGAGAAGGCGAGCCATGTTGGTAAACAGCCCATTTGACCCCAGAATGCAGTGGCAGGCTAACGCCTGACTTCTCCACTCGCTGTTTTTGTTCCCTCATTAAACAAAGAAACAGATTCTTCCCCTGACCTAGTATAATGTGGTTCCCAAGGGTTTAGCTGAAATGGGTGCAGACTGTTCAGAGAATGGTTGCAGCACCCACTGGTTGTGGAAGGCTCACCCTGGGCTAGCGGCTTTTTGTACACTCTCTAATTCTCAAAGCAAGTCTGCAGTTACAGCTGAGGCTCAGAGAGGCCAAGTCACTGGCCCAAGGCCACACAGCTGGAAGGCAGAGAAGCCCGTAGCTCTGTCCAGGTCTGTCTGGCTTCAGAGCCTGCTTGCTTTTCATACACCACGCTTATCAGTCAGTGTGTACATGAGATAGAGGCAGTGGGTTCTGTTTTATCTGAAAGCGTACATTTTGTTTACTCTTGTTAACACCACAGGGAAACTTAGAAATTTTATCTGTGCCCCCACCTTCCTTTTTTTTTTTTTTTTTCTTTTGGCGTGATTTAATTCTGTATCAATCACTGTAGGACCAAAGGCAGTGCCTCAGTTGGGGAGACTGACGTGTTTTGCTTTAACCTTACAAAAGGCAGATTCACAAGAAAATATATTTATTTCCAATGACCTTCTGGGGAAAACAGGAAATAAATCTGGCAGCCCACTCGAAGCATCACTGTTTATTCAGATTCCCTTTTCCATTCAAAGAGATTGTTAAAAGGGTTTCCAGCTTTTTTTTTGCATTTGCAATTCAGGTGTCTCAAAGTGAATTATGTTGTAGTGCTTGCCACTCCAGGTTTGCACAGTATCACATTTTGTGAAATGCCTAAAGTGATCAAATAACTAAACACAGTTGTATATCCTGCAGCATGTGGGAACTAGGTACACCCCAGCCAGGGCTGGCCAGAGGCCCTGCATTCTGTCTCAGACAGATGGCTCTTTGCAGGTCAGTCCTGGTTTGTGTGTTTGTGTTGTGAGGGGAGTAGGGATGCCCATCTCCAGCCAGGTCTTCCTGGCTGGGCATGCTGCCCTTTCTGCCCTTAAAGGGCGTGGGAGCATGCTAGGGCCCCTGTGCTCTGACTTTCTAGAAGCTAGGAGGAGTGGCTCTGAACCTCTCTTGCACACGAGAGTCACCTGGGAAGGTTAAAAGAAAAATCTGAATGCCCAGGCTGCATCCAGGACCTTTGACATCACAGCCTTGGAGAGAGGGGGCAGGGCCCAGGCATTGGTATTTTTAAAGTTCCTGAGTTGATTCTGTTGTGCGTCCAAGACTGAGGAATGAGGGCTGGAAGAGACCCCGTGCATACCTGGCTTCCCTTAGCAGGGGCTTAGGGGCCTTCCTGTTCAGGAGTGGAGCAAACCGATTGAAATTTTCTGCTGCCACTATGTCGTAGTGAAGGGGAGTCGGAAAGGCACCTACCCCTGGGCAAAGTGTCTGCTGTGGACGCCGCCATCCAGGGCATTCCTATCTCTGCTAGGCCAGGACGTAGGTGCGCCTGCCCCCACAGGATTCAGCACCGTCCCCCAGAGCCACCTTCTCTCTGGAGTGAAGAGGGTGGGTGTTCGTCAGGCTGTGGTTTCAGGGCAGTTCTCACTTCTCACACAGACCCTGCCTCCCCACCATCCTGGAGATCTTGTTCCTTCTGGAAGTTTGACGTATGGTCTCTCTCTCGGGCTCAAGGCAGCGAAAATGCAGACTGGGTCCAGGGTATATCTTGGCGATTCTCAGTGAGTGGTGGGCCTTCTCCACCCAGGTTTGTGGCGAATGTCACCCTGTCAGGTACCCAGTTGTACCTGACAGCTCAGAACTTTTCCTTCTATGAGCATGCTTGGGGTTACATGTCACAGAATTGTGCTTAGAATGGCCAGGGGTCTTGCAGAGCAAGAGCTTCTTTGGCGTGCTGAGGTAAGCTTCTGGACGAGAAATCTGATCCCCAAGAGGTGAGGTGAATCTCCCAAGGTCACAGAGCCAGTGCTCCGTGGGGCGGACCTGCATGTCCAGAGTCCTTGCCTTCCTGCTGCGTTCTCATGTGGGACCTGATTGCTGCCTGCAGGATGGCCGGCTTCAGCACAGAGCTCACCATTGTCCAGAGTTCTTTAGCTGAGGAAAACGTGCTGTCGGTCACTCTTTTTCCCTGCGATGGATGTTCCGCTGGGAAGTGCTGAAACCCCGTGGAGGTGATCTCAATGAAAAGGGGTTTGGCTTCTTCGCCAGATTTTGTCAGTGTGCTCTTCTCTGCCATGGTGGTGGTGAGGAAGTAAGAGCTCTTTCCCCCTGCCAGGAGTTGGGTGTGGGCCTAGTGAGGGGAGAAGGGGAGAATCGGGCTTTTTTTCTCCAGGCCTGTTATTTCCACCCTCACTCCACAGATGTCGATTGGGCACCCGCTGAGTGTCTGTGTGGAGCCGGGCTCTTTAC